AAAAAGGCAATGACAATACTGCAAACCTTCCTCAAACACTTTGGCATTTGCTGATTGAAATGACTGAACTAAACAACAGGTTTATCTCTATTTTGGTTTACATTTCTTTCTGCTGTGGCTCTGTTCATTGTAATATTTCCAGTTGCATCAGTGCCTGTCAGAGTAGGTGGGTTGGGTGTTCCCTGAAGGACTGCATCCTATGGAGACCCCATGCTGGAACTGGCTTATGCTGAAGGACTGCAGCCCATGGGTGGGACCCGCATCTGAGCAGAGGAAGAGCGGGAAGAAAAAGAAGTGGAGGAGACATGAACTGACCACAACCCCCCTTCCCTGTCACACTGTGCCACTGAGGGGGAGGAGGTGGAGAAGGTGGGAATGTGAGAGTGAATTCTGGCCTGTAATGAATGAGGGGAGAAGGCGAGGGGTTCTAGTTTTGTGGCTTTTTCTTATTATCCTACTCTATATTCAATTGGCAATAAATTTAATTTTCCCCAAGTCAAGTCTGTTTTGCTTGTGACAGTAACTGGTGAGTGATCTCTCTGTCTTTATCTTGACCCATGAGTGTTTCTATCCTATCTTCCCTCTCTGCCCTGTTGTAGAGTGGGAGTGAAGGAGAGGTTGCGTGAGGGTCCAGCAGGTGTCCAAATTTAACCATACACAGCAAGCCATGTAAATTTAAAACAGTTCCAACATCCACAGAACAGAATCTGATTTGTTCATCTCTGTCACCAGCTCAGGCTCAGGGGGACATTTTACCTCACGCCAAGTGCCAGTTTTGCATTTCTCATAATAACACCTTCAAACACGCTTCCTTCCTCTTCATGAAATGCGAGAAACAACCATTTAGGCCAGAGCAACCTCTCAACCACTGTAATATCTCCTTTCCCAAACACCACACAATCTCTCAGGCTGCCTCACCAACCAATCCATCTCTCTTTAAACAGCAACTGCCCAGAAACAAGTAAACAAATAACTAATGCCACTTTATAAAATGCTAGTCCTCCTTCTCTGTCTAAGGAGGATTTGGGGTTGAATTAACATTTCCATATAAAGTTTATAATACCTGCCCAGAGGAGATTTTTATTCTGTTTCTCAGGATTGCATCCTGAACCAATTGTGGCCTTCTGAGCATTAAAGTTTAGTTATGGAAGCAATGGATTTCCCCAGTAGAAACTGTGGAACTAAGAGCCTAAGTAGTTAGTGAACTAACTAGTTAGGCTACTCATCTGGGATTTCCCATATAAAGGAGAAAGACAAGGATTGTGGAGAGGGAAGAGGTTCAGCCTGAACCAAGTTCAGATGGAAGCAATTCAGTCTGATGCAATTCTTCTGATGCAGAAACACACGGGTCTGGTGCTACTTGAGATGCAAAAAGGGCATCCAAAAGTGGCTGGTAGATGAAAAACTGAGAGATTCTTTCCCCTTCTCAAGTGGTGCTGGAGAGCATGGATTTGAATTAAAAGCAGACAGCTGTATTTCAAGCGCCTGACCAACATCTTCCTGCTTTAAAAACCCAGCATTTGCGACTCTGATTTACATCCTTATTTTTTTAAAGGTGTGAGATTCTCCAGGTAGAACTGAACACAAACTCCAGTCCCGGTATGGTCCTTTTGGTGTAATATCTTCATTTAATTTCCCTGTACAAGCACAATCCCATCAGAGACACTTCATCTTCAGACCTGTTGTAATACAAATAACGTCTATTCTTCTCATATACATCTAGAGAGAAGAAGAAAGAAAGAAGGAAAACAAACAAACAAGCAAAAAAAGCCACCTACACCATTTATTGTGTTTTTTTCAGCAAAACAAGAGGAAATTCAGAGTAAAGGATAAAGAAGAGAACAGGCAATATCAGAAAATGAAAATTCTCTCAAGGCAATATGCTAACGTCCAACAATATAAAAAACTATGAAAAGAAATAATATTTTTGAATGAATGCAGACAAAACTAATTTGCTCATTGTAGTTGACCGAAGCAAAGAAAAGCCCAGATCCTGAAGCCTCACAGGGATCAAAATGGGTCACTCACAAAACCACCACGCTGTCCACAGCACAAAACATCTCCACTCTTTGTGCCACCCAACACAGCCCTCCTGAACCAACATGCAAATCCTGCACACTGACAC